GAACACTAATTAAAAAAAAAACTGCATTGGACTGATTTTTGGAAAAGAAACATGCTACCAATACAACCATTTGTTATGTCAATTGAAGCCCTCCAAACTTATATAAGATGACAGAGGCAAGAGTGAAACATCTACATCAATTTCATGCCACATTCCAATCTTAAAGAAAAAATATTGTTTAAACACTCTCCTTTAAAAGAAGAGCAAAGCTACTGAATTTTCTCTAGCATTTATGATTTTCTTTTAGTTTACTTAGGAGCATATATATTGCATACTTACTGCCAACATATCTGTAAATAATGAGTAACTATGCTTAGTCAAGCACTGTGCTATCCTCTAAGAATTTACTGATAGTTTACAAATTTATGCCACTCTTACTTCATGGAGCTTATAATAGAGAAATTCAAAGTAAAAAGTCAGTAAGTAATCAAAAATGAGAATGGCAAAAGAAACATTTCAGCAAAAAGAACCACTGTAGAAAGATTGAACAGGACACACCTCTCTGAGGAACTATATCATATTTTTGTTGTTTTATTTTGTTTTGGATGGGACTGGGGTTTGAATTCAGGGTTTCACACTTGCAAAGCAGGTACTCTACCACTTGAGCCACACCTACAGTCCATTTTGCTCCGGTTATTTTGGAGATCGGGTTCTCATGAACTTTTGGGTAGCCTGGCCTCAAATGATGATCCTCCTGATCTCAGTCTCACAATAGTTAGGATTACAGGCATGAGACACTGACACGCAGCTTATTCAGAGTTTCTAATCAGAGAAGGCAACCATGGAAACAGCACGACAAATTGCCTTTTCTAGCATTATGTTTTAACACAAACAATTGGTAATCCCAAATCTAGGTGGTATAATTCTGCCTAAAAAATCATCAAGTGTACTTTTTGCTTTCTAAAGTTTATCATATTACACACTTTTAGTTTAAGGGAATAATTTCATTTTCATGAAATGTGTTTTAAATGTTAAATTAAGCACTCTGTAAAGTGCATGAAGGTAATATTACTGGAGCCTGAAGAAAAAATATCTGGAAGATCTTTCTTGGAGTAAGGAATGAATTGCCAATATTAATTTTATTCTAAGGGAAATAAATGCAAAACAATTGCTTTCAGAGATGAGGACACACATACATATGTACAAAAATACACACACAAGTGCACAGAACATGCCTTATAAATTTATGATCTCTGTATGGGGAGGGGGCAGAACTGCCTTGTTTGAAGCCACACAAAAACTCCAGCATGAACAAGCTTTGGTTTTTATGAGCAGTGTTAGTTGTTATTCTAAAGCCGAAAAATCTTAGAAATTGTTGAGAATGGGAAAATGTTTGAAATAAGTTGTGCAATTATTATATGTTCAGTTGTCAAATGTGCAGAATTGTTAAATAGCATTAAATATTTTACAAGCTAAATTCACTTCATTATTATATGCTTCGACATTCCTTATTAAATCTTCATTTCTGCCTGAGGGAGAAAGCAGGCAGGAGAGACAGAAAATGCAGTGCACCACTGCCCATAACTTATTCCCCTGCCATCTTTTAGAAGTAGACAATGTTTACTGTAACTATATAAAACAGGAACATTCAGCTATTTGTGACATGGTTTGGATTTTTAAAGATGATAGAATATTTCTCTCTACTTGAAATCTAACAGCAATATAGGGAGACTTTCTCAATCAATTTTAAAAAAGTAAAATAATGCATATTTCAACTGAGTAGAACTTTTGCTAAATAGTCTTTATTTTGAAAATTCTTCCACATCTGTCATAAGTTTTTCTTTTTCATTTATTTTACTTATCAAATTTATTAGGTATTTAAAATTTTTCAATTTACTAATTTTGACTGTGCTTTTAAATTAATTCAGAAAATTAGTAAAGAATCAGGGCATTATTTCCTACCTGGCTAGGCAATCTTAAGTGTATATAGCTAAGCAATCCTTTTGTTATCCTACAGGAAATCAAATGCACTTAATTTTGCTAGTCCTGGGAATTGTCTTTCAATTGCATGTCTGGTTTTACTTTCCTTTATTCATTTGTTTGGACTCTTTGGTAGAGTTCATTTTAGCTTTGGCACCATTTTTAAGGAGGTCCTGTACATATGGGGGAACCCTCAGCAATGGCACTGCTGCAGGTAAAGATTAGAAAGTAAATGTGTCTTAATATGGAACAGCTGTGGGAGGAGATTAACAGATTCAGTCTTAAAGCTGTGCCTATCTATAATCAGATAGATTAATTCCCAAGAGCAGTATGTTCCACAGAGGAAACCAAACATTTCTGCTAATTCTCAAACCTTTCAGCTTCATTAAATTGTGCTGGGTATCTATAGCTTCATTTGTCCATTATTCAGATAGATCTCATCACACCTGTTTGGAAAGCTCTGAATGGCTTTTAAAATTTTCATTTGCAGATGGCAAATGAATAGACATAAAGCATTTGGCAGTCACATTAATGTTAAACAAGAATCTTGCCGAAAAGTAGAATTAAAGAATAGTGTTCAGATTTTTTTAAAGTTCTCAAAACTTTAAGACTGCAATTTCTCTACATTTAAAATTTTTATTTTATTGTGGTAGGAACACTTAACATGAGATCTACCCTTATTTAAGTGTAGAATAGTCTTTACTACAATTACAATGCGGCACAGCAGGCCTCTGCAGTTTTTCATATTTCTTAGAAATAGTATGCCATTTGATTAGGAATTCCCAATTTCCCTCTACTGGAAACTACTATTCCACTCTTTAATGCTCTGAATTAGCTATTTTAGATACTTTGTATAAGTGGAAACACTTATTATTTGTCTTTTTTTTGTAAATAGCATACTTTGCTTAGCGTTATGTTCAAAATTCACCCATGTTGTTACATTCCAAAATTTTCTTCTTCGTTAATACTAATTAGTATTTCATTGTATGTATATTTTGAACATTTTCTTTATTGATTTGCTGTCAATGGATATTTAGGATGGGCCATTTGGATAGTAATGCAATTAACACAGGAGGGTTTTTTAAGATCGTAATTTCAATTCTTTTGGATAAATATCTGAAAGTAGAATTGCTGGATGCTATGGCAGCTCTATTTTTCATTCTTTGAGGAAGTTTTGCATTGTTTTCCATAGTGAATGCACCATTTCCTGTCCCATGAGTAGTATGCAATGGTTTCAGTTTCTCTATTTCTTCTCCAACACTTGCTGTCTTTTGTTTTTTTTGCTAATCACCATCCTGACAGAGATGAAGCAATATCTTACTGTGGGTTTGAAGTACATTTCCTTATGACCAAAAACACAGAGAATGTTTTCATGTACCTATTGGCAATTTGTATAGCTACCCTGGAAAGATGTCTAATTTAAGTTCTTAGTCCATTTTTCAATTGGCTTATTAGTTTTGTTTTAATTATTGCAAGGAGATTCTTATATATTTTGTATACTAATCCCCTTTTTGGATATGTGGTTTGCAAATATTTTCTACCATTTTGTAGATTGCCTCAAACTCTGTTGGTTGTTCTCTTTGCAGAAATTCAGTTAGATGCAGCCTCACTTGTTTATTTTTTGGTTTTGTTGACTTTTGCTCTTGTATAATATCTATGAAATCACTACATTAAAGAGTTATATTTATGACTAATCTGTGTCTTTATTGTATCTTGAGTTATTTACTGTGTATGTTTATCAGAAAGGATGGATATAATTTCATTCTTTTGTGTATGGATATCCATCTCATCAGTAAGGAAGTTAAGAAGGTAAATAGAGTTGATGTACTTTCAATACAAAAATGAATATAGATTTTTTTAAACCTGTTGAAATCACCAAAAGAAGGGGACTAAGGTAGAAAGGTAGAGGAGATGAACCAATTTGTGTTATAATACACACACACACACACACACACACACACACACACACACACACACACACATATATGGAAATGTCACAGTGAAACTCCTTGTATGACTATCTTAAATAAATAAAATGCTTCTTTTTTTTCTCAAGAACAAAGAACAGAAAGGCAGAACTGGTCCTGTCTGGGGAGTTGGTACCAGTGGGGAGAATATAAAGAAAGGTGTAGGAGGGTGAGTTGGTGAAAAATTATATACAGAAGTACACAAATGGCAAAATGAGACCTGTTGAAACTATTCCAGGAATGGAGAGACAAGGGATAAATAAGAATGATGGAAGAGGTGAATTCAACTATGATATATTTTAAGAACTTTGTAAATGTCACATTGTACCCCCAATAATATGATTAAAAAAAAAGAGAAAAGCAAAAAAAAAAATTAAGTCAAAATGGATTACAGGCTAAATGAAAATCCTTAAGGTATATAATTTTTACCAAAAAATCTTCCTAATATTTGGTTATGCCAAAAGATCTTAGATCTAATATCAAAAGCACAATCTATAGAGTGTGATAAATTTGATCTCATCAAAATTAAGACTATTTGCTCTGCAAAAGACATTAATGGAGTGAGGAAATAAGATACAAGTAGGAAAAGAATGCTCACAAATTAGTTATCTGAAATAGGACATATTATATAAGAAACTACCAAAATGCCACAATACAAAAACATAAAACCCAATGAAGATAGAAGGCAAGAATTTTTTTATGGACACTACATTAAAGAAAATAGAAACGTAGCAAATGAAGACATGAAAAGAAATCCTCCATCTTCAGTCACTAGGAATTGCAGTTTAAAGCCACAATGAGATGCCACTGCACACTTGCTCAAAAGTCAGGAAAGAAAGAAAGCAACCCAACAAACAGAACTGAAAAAACAGTATGTGAAGATATAGAACCCTGGAATTTTCCTACATTTCTGGTAAGAATGCAAAATGGGACAACCATACTGGAAAACTATTGATTGTTTCTATAAACAAAATACAAAAACCATCTAGATGGCTGGGGTGTGGCTCAAGTGATTGAGTGCCTGCCAGCAAGTACCAGGTTTTGAGTTCAAATCTCAATACCACCAAAAACACCCTAGATAATAATATTAAAATATCACAAAATTATACTCACTTTTTTGTCTTTATTGTATTTGGTAAATATCTCCTGGGCTCTCTCTTCTCCTCCATCCGTGAACAACATGATAATCTTATTGCAGTTAGCTCTGGAAACATTATACTGTTAAAAGAAATTCATACTGAAAGGCACAGAAAGTAAACCAATACAGAAAGATCATAGGCAGACTGCAAGTACCAAGTGCAGCATCTGTTCAGTGGAGTATTCTAAGAACAACTTCAGGCCAGGCCCAGCCCTCAGTGCCCAGCTAGACAAAGATCTATCTACCTCACTTACTTCGGGACTTTGATCAAATGTCACCCTATCAGTGAGACCTCTCATGACCACTGTTTTAAAGTGTGACCTTCTTCTAGATTGAGTTTTTCTTCGTAGCATTTTACATTCTTTCTCATGTACCGTATATTTTATTTATTTGCGTATTGTTGGCTGCCCCCAGTAGAATGTAAGAGCTATAAAATGAAATTTTATCTTTTTGGTTTAGTGTTGTTTCCCTGCCCAGAAGAGTGTCCAGTGACTAATAATCACTCAGTGACTGAAGAGTAAATGGGTTTTGACCAATAAATACTGACATTGGTTTCATTCTCCGATAAATTCATCAGGGAATAAAAATTTTATAATTTTAAATAAGGAAAATGTGCACATTTCTTCACATACATGTTCTAAATAATTCTTTCTTTCTTCCTTTCTTAGACATCTTATATTCTTTCCATTTCCAAAATGACCAACCCCTAACTGATCACTTCCCATGACACACTCTTCAATGACTTTCTAAGTGCCCAAACCTATCCCAATCATTTCCTACTATCCTCTTTCAATTTGCCACACAGAGTCTAATAGTGAAATACTCAATTCCAGTGATAAATCTTCTTAAATATTAAGGTCACCAAAAGAATTGAACATGGAAGAATGATGAGTTAGAATTAAAGGAGCATTAAAATGAACAATTAATTTAGAAAGCTGTACTTCTTAGAGGTATGAAATTATAATCTTAGCTTTTTACTGTTGTAACATTTATTTATTTAAATGCTGAGAAAAATAGGTGACACTAATTTATGAATGCTTAGCTTCTTTGAAAACACTAACCCTCTAGCTCAGGGGAATCCAAATGAAATATAATAATTTAAACTTAACATGTGATTTTTAAATATTTTAGTAGCCACCTTAAAGAATTAATAAGAAGCATCTTAACCAGGCATGAGGCACATGCTTATAATCCCAGCTATTCCAGAGCAGAGGCAGGGCCCTAGGTTTACGAGTCAGAGGCCAGCTCAGGCAAAGTTACTGATACCCTATTTCAAAAACAAAATACAAACCAAAGGCTTAAGGCCTGGCTCAAGTAGTAGAGCACTGATAAGCAGGTGTGAGGTCCTGTGTTCAGTCTTCCCAAAATATCTGCAATTAATTCTGATGATATATTTAATTTATCTTGGTTATCCAAAATACTATAAATTCAACATGAGACCAATTTAAAAATTAATGAAATAGCATACATTTTTCCTTCTATAATAAGTCTCCAAATGTTGTGTTTTATATTCTCAACCTAACCAGTTCAAATCAACCACTATCTAAGTGCCCAAGAGTCACCTGAGTGTGGTTACCACACTGGACAGCACAGCTCTGGCATCTATGTGACTCATATTTTAAAAATAATTAATTCTTCTTTAGGCTCCATACTCTTATTTGCCAAAGAAGATAAAGCCCATCTTTTGGTATAAAAATTAATGAAGACAACATTTTGATTTAATGGTGACAAGATCCTGTTTAATATTAATTTCTCCTTCAGACTAGGCCATTAGGACATTAGTAGTACAAGCTTTTAATGAGGCACCATGAAAGCACAAGTACTGAGTAATACACTTGTCCCATCCAAACATGGTTCTTGTCTTGCAAGACAACCTACTATAAATTTGACAATACACAAAGTTACATGTTACAGTATCAGAATATGTTCATGAAGATGCCTAAAATCCCTTCACTAGTTTCCCCGATGATGATTTGTTGTTTTATCTGCACGTATGTATAAAATTAACAAAGTAATATGTCAATCTAGTCACCTAAAATACTGCTTTCTGAGAGTGATAAGACAAAGAACATGATTTTAGTTTTGGAAGCATTACAGTTATTATTTTTTTAATTGAATGCAAATGCTAATATAAGTTAATACAGTAGGTCTTGTGGATCATTTGTATATCTGTATAAATAAAACAGTAATACCCTTTCCCAGGAGAGATAGAGGTTAGTGTACAGGAAAAAAAAATTTTACTTTCAACATGATTTTTTTCTCCTAGGAGTAACAATCTCAGGATTTGTAGTAACAGATATGTAATAACATACATCACAGCAAATTGTCTATAGATTTATAAATATGTAAAGAATCACACAATCACAGAATTAGCATAACTGCTTTAATTAAGCAAAAATAACTTATTTATTTGCAATAAAATTATAATTAGTAGAGTGGGTAATTTTTTTAATGTGGCATTTTAGGACATACTTTCTTTGTTGTATCACTATGTGCTCAGCCCAGCACAGCCTCTGTCATGTATGCATTCCATAGAAATATCTTTGAAAAATGCATTTCCATACATTTGGTGATATTTTATGAAATGCTGCCTGAAGACTAATGAGAATCTTAATTTAAGGCTTGCTATGGTTTTGTTAGAAGATGTCTAGTTCTATTTAATACTTGCTTCAGTGATTTTAAAGGCAAATCTTTCAAGGACAATCAAAAAATGGAGAATGTGACAATTAGACCAGGCTGGTTGAGATAACAAAATATGCTTCCACTTGGCACAAAGCAAGCTGTGATTTCTGGAAAGTTATTTTTAAATGTATATGAGATTTGGAGAATAACTGAAAACATATTAAAAATCATTTAGAACTGTGCCAAAAGCAGTAGGTCAATGAGTTAAATCACATTTTCTCAGCAGCTAGTAAGGAATCTGGGAGTTGATGTGGTTTCTCCAGCAAGAAGGTCTCTAAAGTTGTACTTTCTTTAGACTTGAGAACCTAGATCATTTAACAGTTGAAACATAAACAGGAGAGAATGAAGTAAGGCAAATATGTGGAATATAGACCTGTACAAATACAGCAATATTACGAAAAAACAGGTCACGCTAAGGGGAGGTCACATACGAGAGACGGAGGGTAAAAGGAAGAAGTTAAGAAGGTGAGTGTAGTCGATGCATTTACTACACAAGAATGAATATAGAATTTTTAAACCTGTCAAAGAAGAAAAACAAGTGAGATGAACCAATTTGAGTTTTAATTCATATATACAGGGAAATGTCACTCTGAAACTCCTTGTATAGCTATCTTAAACAACAAAATTGTCACTTTTTAAAATAAAAACAGCAAATAAGAGGGCAGAACAGGTCCTGTCTGAGGGGTGGGTATCATTGAGAGAGGGGAAAGACATGAAGAAAGAGTGTAGGCAGGTGAAAATAGTGTAAATACTGTGTACACATGTATATAAAGGGAACAATGAGACCTGTTGAAACTATTCCAGGAATGGGGGGAGGTGGGATAAAGGAAAATGGAGACGGTGAATTCAATTATGATATAAGAAGTTTTGTAAATGTCACAATGTACCACCAGTACAACAAAAGTAAAAATAAGGTATTAAAAATAATAGTATGAAGAATAATTAAAATGCAAAGAATTAGGAAACAATTATTGATTCAAGAAAAAAATCTTTTCATTAAAAAGAATAAATAAGCTGATATTGTTTACTAGAGGACACATATATCTCAACCTAATGGGCAATTATACTTGAATTTCAAACCCTTGAGCCTTCAACTTTCATTAACAAACATACAACATTTTTACAAACATATTTGTTTTCCCAAAGATAATTTCCTCTACATATGGCAGTGTTGAATATCTTCTTTTCCTGTCCCCTTACTTGGTTATCTAATGGTATTTATTACACAACACAACCTCAAACTCAACATATCTGAATGTGAAGCTGGGTGTGGTGATGCATACTCTGATATCAGCCTCTCCAGAGGCAGGGACAGGAAGATCATGAGTTCGAGGTCAGCCTAGGAAGCAAAGTTAGTGAAACTATCTCAAAAACAAAATAAGATTGATGTACATTCTATACAAGTATAAATATGAAAATTGAAACCTGGTGAAGTCATCATAAGAAGAGGAATGGGGTAGGAGGGAGCATAATGAAGAGGATGAGTCATTTCAGTGTATAATTCATGTATATATGGAAATGTTACATGAAACCCCCTGTATAACTACCATAAACTAGCAAGATGTTCTTTTTTACTAAATGAATGACAGGTAGGTAAAACAGGTTCTGTTCGGGGGTGAGTACCAGTGGGGGGGGGTTAGGACATAAGGAAAGGGTAGAGAATGGTGAAGATGGCGGAAGTATTTTGTATTCATGTATGAAAATAGAACAATGCAATGTGTTGAAATTGTTCTAGAAGAGTGGAAGCTGGAATAAAAGAGTGATGGAGGGGGTGAATCTAATTAAGATATATTGTCAGCATTTATGTAAAAGTCACAATGTACCCCCAGTACAAGTGTAATATGCTAATAATAAAAAATATAAAAACAAAAGGGTTGGAGGCGTGGTTAGGAAGGTAGAGGACTTGCTTAGCATTGTGAGGCCCTGTATTCAAACCTAAGTACTACAAAAATATATAATTTATATAAAATATAAATATATAACATACATATATATATATATATATATATATATGTCAAAATGAGCTATTACTACTACCATCCACCTAATTGTCCAGTTTGGAGAACTTGGGGTCACCTCAATTCATCTCCTCTCACACACACACAAACAAATCTCTTCTATGCCATCCAGTCAGTTATCCTGCCACTCTCTTTACTCCTTCTTCACTTCTCATACCAGGATCTGTAGAATAGCTTCCCAGTCTGGAACACTCAGGCCACGCCATTCTCATACTATGAGCTTTTGATTGCTGCTAAACTCTGCACTGACTGAAATCTCTCTGCTATGCCAAATGACCTGCAATTTTTAAGTGTGCTATGCTGTCTTATTCTTCTCACTTTTTCCATACTTCTTTTTCTTCTGGAATGATTTTTTTTTCTTTTTCATCTACCTACTCAGATTCTACTCATTGTACAAAGTTCCATTCTTAAGGAACAGTTCCTTTTTCCTAAACTCCCTCAGGTTACAATGAGCCTCCCTTCTGTGCTGCTTCAGCAAACACACCAAATGCTACCTGTTTACTTCTACAATTCTAGCCCCAGCATTGAGACAGGAAACTGAGAAGCATTCAATAATATTGGTTGAATGAAGAAAGGAATGAATCAACCAGTAAGACATCTCAGTTGTTTACAATATTCATTCAGGGCCCAATAAGTATGAATGTAAGAGTCCATTTATTCGGCAACTCAGCAAATACGATGAGAATTGTGAGCTTACTCTGTAACAGACATGGGCTAGCCATTATATAGTAATAATGATCATGAATCCTATATCAACCTGACAACCGGCACCTGAGTGTTGTTTCCTGTGTGCCCAGTTCTGTGGACAATCCTACCTACCATCCTCTAATGTACCTGCTGTGGGGACGCTCATACAGAGAGGTAAGACCTACATTCTCAACCATTGTAATACTGCCTTAAAAGTAATACACAATTCAGCTATGGTTTTTTGAGTAGTTTAAAATGAAACAGAAGACATAGCCATTTGAAATTTCCAGCTCCAGAGTGAGACACACGTTGTGATCTGGGACAGTTTAGCATTCCAGGGTCTGACAGCCTTAACATAGATTGTGATGTGTGATTCTGGGGAACTCTCGCTAGGCAGGAATTCCTGCTCTAAGATTTGTCTCTCCTCTCACCTTAATGTCTACCATTTGAACTTTTTAGATCATTTAGGAAGAACAAACTTAAAAGACCCAAAGTAGGTAATTAAAACTAAAACATTTTTAGCAAGTATGTGATGATTGAAAGCACAAATGACATTCTATAAGACAGCTTCTTTTAATATGCTTCTAAATTAAATCAAATAACTAGCTTATGAATGAGTTTTTTAAAGCAATTTGAAGAAAATGGGGGAGGATTTCTAAAAAAAAAAAAGAAAATCTTCATTACATATGGTTTTTAATTTTTTGGATTTAAAAGCAAAAAGAGTTCAAAGACTTCTATTGCATGGCCATATCTGTGGTATGTGTCCATCTGGTACATTTGCTTTCTAAATAACTTAAAAAGAGCATGGTTATCTAACCCTATTGAGTAGTAACTATTGGATTCTGAAATTAAGATACAACCAGTCAATAATAGAAGAAAAATGTATAGTATTGGTACTCACATTAAGCAGCTGTTCAAAAGCAAAACTAAAGCCTTTCTTATAATCTGTTATTCCCTTTGCTGTGATGTTATTCACTGCATCTTTCAACACCTTCTTATTTCTTACATTTGCTTGGACAAGGTGCTGAAAACAGCTTACATCTTGAGCATTGCTGTTGAACTGCAAAAGACAGAAAAAGAAAACATATAAATGGAGACTAAAATCAGCCATACAATTTTCACTAAAATTGTGTTTTATGCATCTCAATCCCATTGCTTTGCTTTCTTTTTTAAAAGGGAAAATGAATATGTAAGTGACAAATATGCACTAAGGACCAAGCAGCAATTTTCATCTGACCCTTCAACTACTACTTAATGCTGAGGCAGTCACCTTCCTAAAATCTCCATTTTCTTGTTTATAAATTTGGAATTTGAGTTATGTGAGGTCCCTTCCAATTCTCAAATTTGATGATAACATGGAAAAAAAAGATCTAAAGACAATAAAATTTAGTCAGAATTCAAATTGATATGCCTACCAAGGAGCAGAGAGAAGATAAGCATTTTTAATTGTTTCTCATCAGGAAAGTCTGGTTAGAAAAAAAAGTGTACTGAATGATAAGAATAGAGGTTTAGTCAATTTTAAATTTAGTGGAATAGTCTTTTTATGGGAGCTAAAACCAAAAAGCAATCTGAGAGAATCAAGAACTGGTAGCATTTGAGAAATATTAGCCTGCAGCATATATAAGAAATGTGCAAGAATCACCAAGCCAAGGGAAAGGACAGGCAGACCACTGCAGGTAGTTGCTGGTGTGAGTGATGAGGCTCTAACAAGAGGATAATATATGACCCGGCTGATACCTGTCCAGAACTGTGCATTTAAGAATAATCACAAAAGTAATTTCACCAACTCTAGAAAGTATTCACATAGTACCCTTGATATTTGCAAAGGATAAGAATGGTAGGAATACTCAACACAGCATGCTGAGACGAGAGGAATTGTCCTATCAGTTATTAATTCTGTAATTTGAGATTGATCCTTAGGCCACTGGGGCCCAGAGCATCACATGTGCAAAATGGGAACAGAAAAAAATGTCAAATATTCTCAGATCAAAAACATATAATTCAATGATCTTAATGGGTGTGTCACAAATATGGTACAAATACTGCAAACACATGTATATAAATGGAAAGCTGAGACCTGTTGAAACTATTCCAAGAATGGGGGGAGGGGAGATAAAGGAGAATGGTGGAGGGATGAATTCAAGTATGATATATTTGATATATATCATTATGATATAATGTCACAATGTACTCGCACCCAGAACAATAAAAAAACAAAAATGGAAAAAAATGTAATTCTCCATTCTTTCTTCTCTGAAGATCACTGAGCCTAATTAAAAAGTGCACTTCTAGATTCATCAATTCACTAAGCAATATGTACTAGCAGCCAAGAAACACAGCAAGTGATAATTTTGTGCTTTCAGACATTAAGCAAATTTTTCTCACACACATACACACTTCTATACGCCACATGCCATAAACAAACAGTTACATAGTGTTTACTACCAGCTGAATTTAATTTGTACTCTAAAAACTGTGACCATTTCATGTGCAAATGTCCTTCAAAATCGGCATTATCATTATTTTCATTTTATTTACAGGGAGACTTATGCTAACAGAGGTTAAGTACCTTGTCCACTGTTATATAACTAACAAGAGATGAGTCAAGATTTAAATTAGCACCACTGTACAAGATTGGACTTTGATCACATGATAAAGCGAGAGCACACAGGGAAGGGTGAAGATAGGTAAGACACCTAAAAAACTAGCTAGCATTTGTTGCCCTCAACGCAGAGAAACTAAAGCAGATACCTTAAAAGCAACTGAGGCCAACAGGAGAAGGGGACCAGGAACTTAGAGAAAAGGTAGATCAAAAAGAATTAACCTAGAACGGTAACACCCACGCACAGGAAATCAATGTGAGTCAATGCCCTGTATAGCTATCCTTATCTCAACAAAAACCCTGTTCCTTCCTATCTATTGCTTATACTCTCTTCAACAAAATTAGAATAAGGAAATAGTTTCTGTCAGGTATCGAGGGTTGGAGTGTGAGCGGAGGGGTAGGGAGCGGAGTGTGGGAAGGAGGATGGGAATGACCCAAACATTGTATGCACATATGAATTAAAAAAAAACAAAACAGCACAATGCAAGTAAAAAAAAGAGTCTGTGGTTTCAACTATTCCTACAGTTTCTCAAAAGAATACAATCAACTATGAGTATTTCTATAAGGCAATATAATATTATGTCCTAGGAGAAAATATCAGGTTTCCAATGTAGATTGTGTTGAGGGAAAATGCCCCTGTGAAATGTGATTTCCTATGATTCTAGAAAAATGTTCCAGTAAAGAATATGGATAAAGACATCCCAGGCAAATAGAACAACATGTACAAAGGTCCTAATATGGGGAAGGGTTAAGGAAACAAAAAGAAGCATAGTTTAGCTTTCTTGTCACTTATGAAGACCAATGATATGAGTTCAGAGAGGGAAGCAGGGTTTAGATTATATAAAACCTAATAGAAATGCTAAAGGAGTGGTATTTTATTCTTAGTTAAATGGAAAGTCGCTGGACAGTTTTATGCCAAATGCAAAATAACGTATAAAAAATTTTAAGAGATCACTCTAGCTACCATGTGATAAATAGTTTTAAGGTAAGCAAAACTGAAATGAGGCAGAAAACTTAGGAAGCTATTGCAATGATCAAGTTGAACACATTTGGTAGCTTTGTTATTATTTGTGGAGATGATCAGAAAAGGAAGGACTTGAGATATACTGTAGAAGAATCAATTGGTCATGGTGATGGACTGAGCCTGTGGTTTCTCACATGGACCTCTGCATGTCTGGAGGGCTGAATGATTCAAGGACTTGTAAAGAACATTTAAGAAGAGCAGAGTTCAACTTAGAGTGAGATTTCAATATATGTGAAACATGCAAGTGGGGATTCAAGAAATAATAACATTTAAAGCATGAGATTCAAAAGTTGTGGCTAACATTAAAAGTATACATATAGAAAGTTTCACCATAGAAATTTGGCTTAAAGTTACGTGAATAACCATGAAGCAGAGCAGGAGTACCTGAAAAAACTAAGAGCACATTCCCAGGAAGACAGGAGAGAAATCAGGAAATTGGACTGTCTTGGGTGATCAGAGGAAAAGGAATAAGTAGCAAAGGGAAAATGGTATAGTTCAGAGACAGAGAAGAAGAGGACTGAAACTACCTATTGAACATCACAGCAGTTTCTATTGGCAGGGCAAATGGAAGGTGCTAGCACCCTCACCTTGGCTTCTGGGTAACAGAGCAGAAAAACTGGGTGCTACATACAGGGTAGACCTAGTGGAGTCAAGGAAAGATTTGTTTAGCATAAGGGGTCACTAGACCATGAGTGGACTGGTAGTAAAGAGAGAAAGAAGAAAAAGATGACACGAAACAGAAGAGATGAAAAACAAGTTTAGGGGAAGGTGGAAAGGAGGTAATCCAGGTGACATACTGAGAAAAGTTTGATTAGGAAAAGGTGGGTCAGCTTCTTCTACCAAAGAAGAGTGGAAGCAGATAGAGGTGTAGGCGTGTGTGGCGTGGACCTGAGCAGGAGGGATTTGTCTCTAATGAACAATGATGCGAGGTGATCAGGATAACTAAGGTCTGAAGAGAATGGAGATGAAACAGGAAGCAAAATGTCCTGCACAGGTAAATAATCTCAGGTTTTTTTCTCATTTTTATTTTGAACACACTTTCAGGAACACCAGATATATGAGAATAGCATTACCATATATTCACTTACTGTTTTCTACAAATCTAAATGTTAAAAACTTAATATGGGCAATCAATATAACCAGTCCCTCCACCTCATTTGTCTTTCTGTTCCTAGAAAATTTGATGTGATCTTATTCTATGGCTCCATTTTGAAAACGAAAGAATTTCCTGTACAAGTTGAGTAAGAAAAAAAAGTTTGCCAATACATTAATTGGAAACATCTGACCTAGGAGAATTATTCTAAATGGTAATGGGAAATGCTATTAACTGATTTACTTAAACCATGAATCATCACAAAGACACAAGTTACGAAGAAAATGAGCACTGAATAATGTATTGCCTGGAGTCTTTCATTTGGCCGTGACCTGTTTTAACACAGAAAAGGGAAGCATCTCATTAAAGTCACCTTAATACAACCTGATTAAATGTAAATTCAGTTCACTAAATACAGATTCAGTGGCGTATAACAGAAATATTACAATTGCACTCTTAATAAAACTCATAAATAATGCAGAGAAAGAAATAACTTACAAAGTATAACTCCCTGTAGCAAATCTTATTACACGAGGAAAGTGATAAAATTTAAAAGGTCTAAATTGGATAAGAATATATTTCAGAAATCTTAGATTCATCTGCATATATGTTATAAAATAATATGCTATTTTATGTATTCAAAAGCTACCTTTAGAAAGCAATGCCCAGATATTTATTTGATATGAATATTTATATATTCTTTGACTGCTTTCTACAAATTTAAATGTTAAAAACCTTAATATGGCCAATCAATATAACCAGTCCCTCCACTTCATTGTCTTTCTGTTACAGCAAAAGTTGAATAATACAGTGTTACAACCCTTTGAAATTGTCTATGGTGAGTGAAAAGACAGAGTTAAGGAGCACACTCCTTTGTTAGCTATTAAGAAACTATTTCTTTTGAAAATGTATATTTGACACTGCAGACTCAAAAATCCATACCAATGTCACACTGACTCCTTTTTCCTACTTGAGGAAAAGCAATTCACCATTACAGGTCCCTGATTAGAGCTAGTGAGAAGAGCCTGGCAGTTGGCTGAGATAAGAGGCATGGATGAAAACCAGCATCGGGGGTGGAAGAAGCAGAGGACTCTCTCCCTCCAGGAGTGGGGCAATCTTTAATTTCCCCTCTACAGAGCCTGCTCCTTCTGTCAGCAGCTCTTTTCCCCATCGTGCATGCAAGTTTCTCCACTTCCAACAGTTTTCCTGCCTCCTTCACTGACTGTTCCACATAGCTCAATTTTCTTTCCTCATGAAAGGCTTTCCCTGACAAGACCAAACCACTCATTATAAGCACTCCTCAACTTGAATCTCTTCTTTATAGAGTGTGTAAGTTGTACA